GGACCTGAACCTGTTCAGCCTCCAAAAGAGAAGGCTGAGGGGGGATCTTGTGGCCTGTTATAAACTAGTCAGGGGGGACCAGCAGGCATTAGGGGAGTCACTGTTCCCCCGAGCACTGCCAGGAGTGACCAGGAATAACGGTCACAAGCTGGCAGAGGGTAGGTTTAGGTTAGATATCAGGAGGCGCTACTTCACAGTCAGGGTGGCAAGGATCTGGAACCAACTTCCAAGAGAAGTGGTGCAGGCTCCTACCCTGGGGGTTTTTAAGAGGAGGTTGGATGAACACCTTGCTGGGGTCGTTTGACCCCAGTACTCTTTCCTGCCATGGCAGGGGGTCGGACTAGATGATCTGCTCAGGTCCCTTCTGACCCTAGAAACTATGAAACTATGAGTAAACTGATCCCAGATCAAATGCATGTGTAGACTAAACGGAGGACAGTTACTCAAATGGTTGTAAACTGGTAGAAAACGTCATTTGAGTCAAACTCTACCTCTTAAAATCTCTTCTGTTCCCTATCCTTGTCCTACAATGCTGGTGGAACAGTTCTTGAGTCATTTTTGTCAGCATGAGCATTGTTTGGTTGCTGGATCAGGAGCGAACCGTAACTGGCTCCAAAGGGCTGGACCGTAGGCTTGAACAATGCTGCTGCCTCAAAGCAGGACGTCCCTTGGGCTGATTTCTGCTCTGGGACCGTGGGAGGATGCAGCCCTCTCATCAGCGAGGACGAGACTCCTGCTGGCGATGCCACCCTCGACGGCGCGTCCGAGAGTCGGTGCTAGCCGCCACCACGCACCGCTTGGGGCACGCGGCCCTGCCGGGACTAACGCACCTGGGCATCATGCCATCGGCACCGCACACCACGGGACCCTTCTAGAAGAGGGGAAATGAGGCATTTTCACAGGGCCTCGAAGCTGTAACTTTGCCCCCGACCCTTTCTTTTCCCGCTTGGCGGGGGGTGGGGGGCGCTGTCTGCGTCCTCCAGCAATTCAAGTTTGTGCAAAAGGCCAGCCTGCGCGGCGTCGGAGGGGAGCCGCTGGTTTTCCATGTTTTCCCGCCCCTCCCCCTCAGGGGTTTCCCGCAGAGGCGGAGCGGGCTCTACACATGCGCCGGACTCCTGCTCAAGACCGGCGGCAGTTGAACTTGGGCGGGGCTCGCGGGGAGGTCCCGCTCTGCGCATGCGCCACTCCAGCCCCGGGAGCAGCGCCGGTTGGGCTGGGCAGAGGGGCGGAGCGGGACAGGGGGTCCACCACTGCGCAGGCGCGGGGGGAGGGGGCGGGCAATGGTTGCGCGGGCGGCAGGCGGGCGCGTGTCGTCGGGGAGGTGCGGCGCGGCGGGGATGGCGGAGGTGGGCGCGTGTCGCCGGCTGTTGTCGTGGCCCCGCGTCCTCCTGTTCGGGGACTCCATCACCGAGGTACCCAGCCCCGCCGTCTCGGTGTGGGCTCCCCCCGGGAGCGGCGCCCTCTAGTCCCCGCTCCCCAGGGCAGCCCCAGCTCCGCACGAGCCCTTCCCGTGCTTTGCCGAGAGGCCGGCTGCTAAGGACGGAGCGCGCCGCTCTCAGCGCGGACGGGACCCGGAGCAGGACGTGCAGGGGGGTGGCGGGTGCTGGGAGGAGGACTCTCTGTCCTCCGAGGTTTTGGACAGAGCCTGATGTCGTTGGGGTTGGACTCGAGACACCCTCCGAGGTCTCTTCCAGACGCAGCTGGCCGTGACTCTAGGGGAGAGGGTCCCCTCGGGATGAGGCAGCTGTGGCTTTTCTGCATGAATCCCTGGGTGTGGAGTTGTAGAGAGGTCGGGCTGGAAGGGACCGCTGGCATCCCAAAAGCAGGATGGAAGAATGTATGAAAGGGTCGTGAACAAACTTTAAAAATGGGTTGTCCTTTAAAGGAGAAAAATGTGGAAAACCATGGCTTTTCCCTTGCAGGCTGGCAGAGCTCCAGCACACAAGGAGCCCCCCGTGCTCCCCACACACCCACCCCCTGCCGCACACACCGGGCACCTGTGAGCAGGGGGCAGTGGGTCAGGAGTGAGGGGCTGGGTGGGGACTGGCAGTCACTGTTTACAGTTGCATCCTGGTACAAACAAGGTTGAGAACCACTGTAAGCCAGTGATTCTCAGCCTTTTTTGTACCAGGACCCATTTGTAAACATCAACGGCCAGTCCTGTCTCAGTGCCTCTCACTCTCAACCCCCAGGTCCCAGCCCCCCAGTGTGTGGGGCAGCATGGAGGGGGCAAGCAGACCCTTGCAGACTGGAGCTCTGCCAGCCTGCAAGGGAAAAGCTACAGTTTCCCATGTTTTTCTCCTTTAAAGTAGAATCCATTTTTAAAGTGTGCTCGTGACCCTTTCATATATGCTTGCAACCCACTTTTGGGTTGTGATCCGTGGGTTGAGAAACACTGCTCTAATCCACAACCTGCGGCAGGATCATCCTTATCCAAACCATCTGCTACCAACATAATCTAAACTCTACACCAGACTACCATCCACCCTGATGCAACACAGACCTAGCACCCTAACGTGCTGCAGGTAAAGCAGGGGAACCACAGCAGGCAGTGTCCTACCTCTGTTAAATGTTATCAGTATCTGCTCAAGAGGTCCTGGGTGGAGGTTTCCAGAAGATGTGGCCTTTGACTGCCTTGTCCTTAGTGCCATTAGTTCTAGTGCAGCCTTCAAAAATAACATCTTCCACCCAGCTGTGTTGTGAGCCCTGCTTCATGGAGCCCAGGTCCCTGTGTTGGTGAGGTGGCAGAAGATTTAGGGCTGCTTTCTGCCCTGATGCAGGATGATGCTGGTGTGTCCAAAACCAGATTTAGTACCTAATCCTCTTTCAGCCTTTTGGGAGCTTTGTAATGGGATGAACTTTGTGAGAGCTCCTTTCTCGAGGAGTTCCAAAAACTCATCTCTCATCTGGAAGAACTCAGCTGTGACCAGAAAGAAATCTCTGTATTTGAGTCTGACGTCCTGTGTTGTCAGGTTGGCCAAAGCATTTAAAATAAGATATTGATAGAATTTTACTACCTAATCCAAACAGATATCTTCTGTTTTTTAAAGTTCAGCTTGTTTGTTATTTTTTAAACGTAAGCATTTCCCTGCAGTGTTTGAAACTCGGACACAGTGACATTGTGCTAGGATGCGAGAATCAGAAAAGAAAGACTTTAAATGGAAATGGAAGTGAACGCTCTAGTGGCACAGTCTGAAATGAATGACCAAACATAGACAGCATAAATACTAAAAAGTAACTACAATTCGTTTGTTTTGATAATCTAAGAAGTTATTAATAAAGATGGGCAGAGGCTAGGTAGCCGTAGCTTTTAAAATTAAGTTAATGGTTCTCTCCCCTATACAACTTGTCTTGCATAACTTTTGAGAGCTACTTATTGACTGGTCTGAAATGAAAGCACAAGGACCACATTTAGAAATTATCAAATAATACTTTGCATCACCCCATCATTACTAGGTACTTGATTCATGTAATCACTTAGGGCTCAATACTACACAGTTCTTGGGTAGATGGACTGAGATCAGTGATTGCTTTGACCCTGAGAAGACCACAGGATCCTTCTCACAATGTGCACTCCTCATACCAGCAGTGTTCGACCCCTGGCCCATGGGCTGAATCTAACCACCGGCATTGTCTGATCCAGCATGTGGGGCTCCTCACAGGTCTGAAAATTTGGTGGCAGGGGAATGGTGGTAACTCCTGGCTGCCAAATATCCAGACCTGTGGGGAGCCCTTGGCCCTGCCTACTAGATTGGGTGGCCCAGGGCTAGGCAGAGATAGTACCGGGCTTCAGGCCCTGATCCTGTGATGCAGGCCTAGGTGGGAGTGTCATGGGGCCTTAGGGCTTAGTCACCATGGATGGATGAGCTAAGATTGGGTGTGACTGGGCAGAGGCAGCACGGGGTCCAATTTGAGTGTGTGGGGCTTAATCCAGCTCTCAAACTGTCCCAAGGCTTCTCACCTGGCCCACAGGGCCAAAAGCTTGAACACCACCATCCTATGCTGTTTTGTAATACAGTAGCAAAAAGTATGTGCTGAGAGTGGAGAAATAAGTCTATTTGACCACTGTGAGGCTAGGATAAGGTCAACAGGTAAACTTTAAGGAATTGCTAGTGGCTTCCTCTTGAGAATGTGTTGGGACACAAAGGAAAAAAAGTCCATTAAGTGAGGATGGAGAAAATAAAACAGAGCAAAGAGGTGAGGTGCCATGCTGAACAGGAACCATTATTTGTTTTAGTTAGGCTCTAACTGTGTCCACTTCATTCAGGCTGCCTTTCAAGAAAACGGATGGGGAGCATCGCTTGCTCAGAAACTAGTCAGGTGAGACTTATCACATTTTGTGGTGTTATATGTAACTTACGGGATGAAAGAAAGCCCAACAGTTTCCTGCAGTGTAGATCATTTTCATTTTGAAAAAATGAGAACTTATTTATATTTGGATTTATAAAATAGCATGGAAGGTCTCAATATTTTGCCTCCGTGTGTTTTTCTGAAATCCTTGTTGAAATATATTGGAGAGCTTGGGTGAAAAATAGAAGAGAATTAAAAGAACAATGCCCTGATCCTGCCATCAAAGCTCTATGTATAGATCTTCATGCTCATGTGAATCCAGTTTCAGAATTCAAACTTTTATGTGTAAACTTGAATGCAGTACATATAGTTTATACATATACTATATAAATAGGAAATTATCATTTTGCAGTTGTACAGCATTTGTGAAATGTTGTTGATTTTTTTTTTTTATAAAAATTGAGAGCAGATATCGTGCCAAAATGTTTTAAAATGTCTAAATTGTGGTTCTTACTGGGGGGATTTTTTTTCTTGATACATGTGTTTATTTCAGAAAATGTGATGTTTTAAATCGTGGACTGTCAGGCTACAATACCAGATGGGCTAAACTAGTTCTTCCAAGATTGATCAGCAAAAGTTCTAATGCTGAAAACACAGTTGCAGTTACCATCTTCTTTGGAGCTAATGACAGCACTTTAAAAGGTAGGGCCCTTTTCTTTTCTTTTTTTTTCTGTGTTATTAGACATGGTGCGCTTTGTCTACACGATAAGCTAACTCTGCAGTAGCACGTCATAGCACCAACAGTGCTAATATGCTGCTGTACAGTGTTATTAGGCTACTGCATAGTAGCATCACATAAAAGGTATTCGCTGGCACTACTGCGCATAACTCCAGGTACTGTGCATAACTCCAGTGTAACTCTAGTTACTGTGCATTTACTTAGTACTTGATTATACAAGTATAATCAAGTACTAAATAAACGTGCAGTAACCAATGCAAAGTAGTGTCTCGTGTAGACGCGCCCAGTAGAACACACACATCTCCGGGTCCTAAGCATCGTTGTGTTCTTACAACATTTTTTTTAATAAGTTTACACTATTGTATTTTTAAGTATTGAAAGCATATGTATACCATTGCCTTTTGTTGTTCTCCTTGTACCCAAAGCATTCAGACATTTCGAAAGATGCAAATGGCAGTATTTAAGTAATAGATTTCCACTGACTCAGCATCTAACTGCTATCTTTGTGTTTGAAAATTGTCTTTGGCTGATGGAAGTGAGTTTGAAGGTTAGTGAAGACACAAGTTTCGTGGCCTTTATGTGCACCTAAAGGTGTGTGTACTGACAAGTATAAACATTCTAACCATCTTTGTAAAGGCAGTACATGAAGGGCCATCACTCTGTAGAGTTGTGAAACAATGCTGTAAAGTTATGAGAGATGCAGACAGAATCCATCATTTCCCCCCTTATTTTGGTGTATCTAGATACTTTATTAAATCTGCTGTTCTCTAACAACATCTTTAGGGAGCGGCTGACATCAGGTCTAAACTGTGGCAGTGACCATGTTGTGCACTGCTTAAAGGTTTATTTTAAATGTTTCTCATCGGCAGTCTCTTGCAGTTGAGGGTCATTGTCTGTCATGATTGTGTTATCTGTGGGTCTGAAGATGGCTAATGTGGCCTATCCAGGATCAACAGACTGTTGCAACTCGGGCAACCCTGCAGGGTGGGTGGCTCGGGTTTTTGATTCAACTGTGACATGCTGTTTCTGCTTCTCCCACTTTTCCATTTCCTGTTGTTGTTGTAAGGTTTCAAAATACAGCAGACTCCTTGCAGCATACTCTTCCTTAATTTGGGTTGGTCCTGGATGATAGTCTCCCACGAGCTGATGTCAGTGTTGCATTTTTTTCAAGTTGGCCTTGAGGATGTCCTTGAAGTGCTTTTCTAGTCATGTTTTGAAGCATCTTTTTCTACTTTTATTATTGCAAATCACCCTGACACTTTTTTCTGGCTATGTTTTTTTCTGTTAAGTCCTTGTAATGATTTGATTTTCTGTTACTAGAAAGCCTATGTGTTTGAGTGTTAGCCAGCCTTGTCTGGCACAGTTGTTAATTGGGAAGGAAGTTCTTTTAGTTTTTAGCATTTTCAGCCCCAGACGTTCATAAATCATGAGCCTGGTCCCTCAAGCTCCTGAGAGTCTCCTGATTTTTGAAATAGTGGGTTGTCATTTTATATATCTTTTGGCTTTTGAGCCTTTTGGTTGCATGTACTTCATAATTCTAAGCTTTTCTCTGCAGCCACAGTGGCTGGAAACTTTGAGTTTGATTTAAAAGCTGAGATGCTTATGCAGTATAATACCAATACCTGGTGTTCTACGGGCATGTTATATGAGCAAGTAACTGTGAGATAAATAAGAGTAGGGATTTACAGGGCATCAGCTCTTTTGTAGTACGTGCCTATGTATGTGTTTTTTCCCTGTTGTAAATAGCTAACTTGCTAAGGTCCAAGCACATGCATGGAGAGTAGAAATCCCCACCCTCCTTTACCTCATGGTAACTTGTCTGTATGCCAATGCTGTAAAAAAATAGAAAAAGTCACAAGACTAAAAAACAACAGAAGAGTTGGCAATAAGTTATTTTCCATCTTATTCCTGTAAGCTGCAAGTGCAAGTATTGAGCAAATGGCTGACATATTTTGGGTTTTGCTTTACGTTGTTTTTCCTATCACAATTTATATTTCACAGTTTATATAGAACTATATATTGAATATAAGTAAAATGCTCCTGTCCATATACTGTGTAAACAAGACCTTTAGTTGCAAATGAGAAGATAAATTTTCCCTCTCAACAGATGTGAATCCCAAGCAACATGTTCCCCTGGAAGAGTATGCTGAGAACTTAAAGAGCCTGGTACAATATCTGAAGTCTGTAGACATTACTGAAGACAGAATTATTTTGATAACGCCCCCTCCTCTTTATGAACCAGCTTGGGAAAAGGAGTGTATTGCCAAAGGTAAAAGGAATTCTCAGGTTCGGGCATTAAAAGGAAAGTGTGAGAGGAACTGTCCAAGTTGCTGACCACAGGCTGATGCGTGATTTGCTTTGTACCTCTGCCAGATGATATGTCTGTTCTCTGAGCCAGTAGAAAATGACTATTGGAACATCTTTGAAATGCCCCTCTGGAGCAAACTGATCTTTTAAAAGTGCAGTTTTGATTTGGCTGTGCATTATTACAACTGAAAGAAAAGGCTTCACTTTAAAAATATTAGGTTGGGTCCCAGAACTTTTCTTGTTTACATAAGAAATGGTGACTTGATAATAGTAAAACTCTTGGCTGTCGCATAAAATTGTAGAGGTGTCTTAGTTGGATTACTCCAAGCCTTAAATCTGTTCACAACGAGGAGAAGTGATGGCAATGCAGTACGTCGCAAATTGTCTGTTACAACGTAGTCATCAGGGTAAGCAGGAATATCCCACCCTACGTTTTATTTTTGAAAAATAATACCATGAGAGTGTAAAATTCTGACAATGCCAAGAAAGTGACGTCTGAGAAAAAGCAGAAAAGCATAAATCCTTGTGACTTTTCATTGTGAGCTTTAAACTAACTGTTACAATGGAGACATGACAGCACTGCTGATGTCTTGTTGGGGAGTCTTTCCAAGAGCTAATTCTCAGCAGTGTAACTAGCCACAGCTCCATTGACTGCAACTGTGACAGTTTACACGATCTAAAGGTCTGCCTTCCTTGTGCTCACATTTGTTTGGACAGCCTGTGCAGTGCCACGGTATTTGCACTTTGAAAAGACTTGCTGAGTTTGCCTTAGATAACTAAATAATACCTCAGCATTTACAGTGTTCCCTCGATTTCAGTGAATACCCAGGGGGATATTGCATGTGCTGAGGTAATGTTATTTAATTAGCTAAGACAAAATTGGAAAGTTTTGAAGAGAATCATGTATATAAATTGCAAGCTGATGGATTCTTTTTATCCCCTAAGGACAATAGTTCCATAGAATAGTTCCCTCCCTACTCTGCCCTGACACAGTAATGTATGACTCCTCAATTTATAACTCTTTGTATAAAGCTTTCTATCATTGTATGCAGATTCCTAGCTTTTCAGCAGGCAGTTGTGCAGATAAGATTTAGATGAATGCATCTGTGCATTGGTAGTCATAGACCATACATTAGCGGTCTGTTCTGCCTTGCATTTCGTGTGTGCAAAAATAGAAGAGATGAAGATAGATCAGTAAATAAGCGAGAAATATAACACCCTGTACTGTACAAAAGATATTGACTCGTTGGCGTTAGGAAGATGCTTCTACCAGAGGCATGTTACTGAATAACTGTTGATGTGCGATTTTATAGCTCGCTGAAATATCTAGTACGTTGACTGCTAGGGACAAGGGCAAAAGTACTGGACTTCATGGTCTTTTAGTCAGGTTCAGTAGGGCAATTCCTGTATTTCTGTTGCGGATGAGAGAGAGTCCTAGGTTTAAGTATCAACTTTAAACAGATAAAAAGTTAATACTTGCAGCATTTTCATTCCATTATTATAGCAACACTTTGCCCATCTGGATTTTTTAAATAGTAGGTTATGTTTGACCCGTCTTTCCTTGTCACTGTGCTTTGCTGACATGTGGGAGTGCAGCTTTTGTCTTGCTTTCAAATACAGGGTCTTCGTAAATTCCTTGTGCACTTTAAAACTTTAATAACTTAGGTTGCAGGTATGATAGAAACAATCCATAAACAGCATTGAAAAGCAAATTTATTAAAGTTTTAGGACAGCTAGAGTACACAATGCTAGACTTCAACATAACCACCATCCATCATGATACAGTGGTCAATCTGATCTTCCAACTCCTTGAAAATGTTTCACAGTTGCTCTTGAGGTACTACACTAATTGCATTGGTGATCCCAGCCCTAAATTCCAGCAAAGAATGTGGTTTTGACAAGTAAACTACACTTTTAACATGTCCCCATAAAAATAAGTCCAACGGCGACAGGTCAGGTGAACGAGGTGGCCAAGCATTTGGTCCACCTCTGCCTATCCACTTCTCTGGGAAAACATCATTTAGGAACTGTTGTACATTCAGAGCGTAGTGGCACAGAGCTCCATCTTAGTTGAGAACAAATTCTTTATTACTTGTGTATTCTAGCATTGTATATTCTAGTTGTCCGAAAACTGTAATAAATTTGCTTTCAAATGCTGTTTACAGATTGTTTCTATTGTACCTGCAACCTAAGTTATTAAACTTTAGAAGGACTTTATGAAGACCATGTATTGTTTTTTTAAGTGTGGTGGTTTCCAAAAAATTAAAAGATGGCTTTGTTTATAAAAAGGCCATATTTATTAAAAACCTTTGCAGTTTAATGTTGCTCTGTGCCTCAGTTGCTTGGATAAAGAGGAACAATTGAACTCAGTATCCGGAGGAGAAAAAGACCCAAGATCTTTTAATTGTTTAAAACAGCAAAGTTTAAATCATTATCTATATCATTGAAATCCATATTTGAGTTAATGGGTATTGGGGAACAGAATTATTTTCACTGGAATGCCAAGAAGACCTAGTCGCATGTCAGCACCCCATTGTTATAGGTGCTGTTCATACATAGAAGAAAAAGATCTTGCATGCTTGCAGAGAGCTTCTAATCAACCTAAGTGGTGTATCACAGCACCAGCAGCCTGGCTTGTTTGTAGATACCAGGGCAAAGGGACCTAAAGAAGGATCATGTTTATGAGGAACTCCTCAAGCATGAGCGGCAGAACAAGAGAAAGCACAAAGCTGCTAGTCTGAAAATGTATCAAGGCTGGTATTATGGGCCAAATTCAAGGAGGGGAAAAAATCAATAGTCAATGACATTTCAGTAGTGAATGCTAGATGATGGTAGGGTAGGGGATAGGCTCTGAAGGGTTTTGAAAGTAAAAGCATGCAGCTTAGGTTTGATTCAGTTGAGAAGAGAGCAGTGGACAGATGCAAAAGAAGATAACGTTTTCCAAGTGATGGTCTAAGAGATTGTTCTTTTCAGTGGCTTTCTGAATAGATATGAACACGGTAAGATTGCATTTGTCAAGACCAGAGAAAAGGAATAATCTTGATACATGATAATGAAAGCTTAAGCCCTATGGATAAATAGAAAAGGTTATATCTAAGAGATGTTATGCAAAAACAACAGACCAGATTGAGGCATGACAAGCCTATATGCAAAAACCAAGAGAAGTCAGTGCAGCAGAATGTAGGTCTGAGTGATAAACAAGACATCAGTGCTATGTACTGTCATTAATACAGTAGATGCATGGGAAGGGGAAGATGATAGTAAGAGCTCTGTTTTAGTGACACTGGATTTGAGGTAGGTGTTGACACCACATCTAAGTTGTCAGAGACAATTTGAGATTTTACTTTTGACAGGAGACACATTCACAGCTCAGAGCCATTCACAGAAATTATGTTTGAGTTTGTCTGGTACAGCAGATTCAGCTCGGTTTAGCAGACAAAAAGAAAAGAACCAAAGGCAGAGCTCTAAGACCGTCACCCCATCCCACAAAAAAATGGAAAAACATGCTGAAGAAGCAATTAGAGAGGCAGAAAAGAAACCAGAAGGTGGAATCACAGAAAGCAAAGCACAGAGGATTTTGTTGAAGGAGGCTGATCAAGAAGAATGAAGATGGAGTACTGGCTCTGAGTTTTGTCGTGGAAGCAGTCAGACTCTCTGGCAGGAATAGTTTTCATGGAGTGTAAGGAGTGGGCATGGATCTCCAGACAGTGTTTGAGCATGATGGAATGGAAAAGGGTGGTGGTTGAAAGCAAAAGGAGTCAAGCATGTAAGTGTTGTGTTGCTTTTTAAAGATGGGAGAGGCTAAAGTATATATTTTGATGGGAAAGAGCCAGAGATTTAAAGAAGAACAGAATGGGTGAGAGGGAGTTCAGGGGATGGGATCCGATAGGGACACAAGGACAAATGGAAGAGAAACTTCTGCCCTGGAACAGGTGAGAAGGAGGGAAAGGGAAGGCAAACCAAGGTTAGGGTTGCTGAGGTGGTATTATGTCATTATGCTTCTAGATGGACTCAACCATATCCTGTGTACAGAGAGAAGTAGAAGAACATTTGAGGAGTGAGTCAAAGGTGGAGAAAGATAGCTGGGGTTAATGGGTATAGTATTCAGTTAATTTAGAAAAATAGTTATTTTTCTAGGAAGTTGGCAGACCTGAAAGAGAAGAAAATGGCTGTATAGTGGAGGCCCTAGTCATTTTTATTCTGGAGGAGTTCTGTAGCAGGAGTGCATGTTATAGAGAGTAGCATTGACTTTGTAATGGCAGAGACGAGCCAGAGAGTTAAGGCTGTGCTTTTGTCTGCCCTTATCAGTGGAAGAATTGGGGGAGAGGGCTAAGAGCAAACAAGAAATTATCAACACTAATGAATTGCAGAAGCCCTGGAAAAGCTAAGTGACAGAGCCTGAAGAGACCAAGTGATGGTCAGAGAAGAGGATTTCAGCAAGAGAGATCTGCCTTTGATGCCTACCAAGTCAAGTGCATGGCTATTTTTGACCTGTTGGAAAGCTGAACCAAGGCAGCAGGTTGAACAGTGTGGATACAGGTAGTTTAGGGTTTGGATGGGTCATCATCAATTAGAAAGTCACTGAGGTTGAAGAGTGGAATATTGTGAAGGGAGGAAAGCTCATGAGGAAGAGTGGGGTGGACAGCGATGGCAGCATGGGGATGGAGAGAGATAGTGTATCATTTGAAAGAGAGTTGGAAGGGTTTAATGCAGGGGCAGGCAAAATGTGGCCTGGGGGCCAGATGTGGCCCACCAGGCCATTCTATCCAGCTCATGGGGCCCCTAAAAAGTTCAGAAAATTAATATTAATCTGCCCTGGGCTGCTTGTCACGCAGCCCTCGATGGCTTGCCAAAATGCAAGAAGCAGCCCTCTGCCCAAGATAATTGCCCGCCTCTGGTTTAGTGACTTGATACAAGCCCCTTTCTAAAAAGTCTTTCACTTTAATACTTCGTATATTGAGCATCAGAGTTTCTGTAAAACTAAGGATTCTGAGAGAGTAGCTGATCTCTAATAATTTGCTCATAAATACAGTCTTATTTCAGGATCTCAAAAGTATTTTACAAAGGGAATACTAGGGTTAAAAAAAGAGATCAGAATGACCTGTCTGATGTTACTGGGAAGTAAGTAAGAGAGTTGTGGACCTGTTCTCTTAATTCTGTCCCGTGCTCTAGCAGCATAAGTGCGCATGCAGTTTTATGCAAATCAGGTAAATTCGATGCACTTAAGAGCTGTACAAAAGTCTGCCATTGCCTCTTGATTTCAGCACCTGCACTTGCTAAATTAAAGCACGTTGAAATGAAACCTGAGGCTGACATGAGGACTTAAGAGATTAAAATGGATTTAGCTTTGTGTTAGTTTGTGAGGTTGCATCTTATGCTTTGAAGTCAGTAAATAAAAATCATGCAAGATAAACAGTGTAACCATCCAATTGTTTTCAGTAATATTTTCTTGATTTTTAACAGGTGACAAATTAAACCGTCTCAATTCCACCACTGGGGAATATGCCAAGACGTGTGTTCAAGTAGCTAAGGAGTGTGGGACTGATGTAATTGATCTGTGGACACTTATGCAAAGGAATAAGGTAAGGTACAGAAAAAGATTTTTACAAAATGTCTGGCTTGTGCAAAGCAGTGTGTAGCACAGTGCTTGGGGAGGCAGTTGACCCACTTCTGCAGAGATGAAACAAGGAACCATTATAGATTACACTTTTATGGGAAAATATCTGAAATCAGAAAACTTCATACTGGGCTAGAAGCAAACTTAAGGGTGATGCGTCTCAATACACCCCAAATATTCAGCTTGGTTAGCAGACAATACACAGCTGGACTAAAGGTAAATGATTTACTGCATAGATTTCTGTGAAGTAGATTACCGGGCAGAAATTGCACCACTTACTGTGCTTGTATGCATAGTTTCATGATTGGCTCTTTTGCAGTGCAGCTGGATGAACACCACCAGCATATTGAAGCCAATCTCCATAAGTGCAGACCCCCTAAGCAACTCTTAATCTAAACATTGTGACCAAATCTGCAAAAGAGCTGGGTTTTTTTTCTGTGGCTTGAAAATGTGATCCCTTACTCTGCTCACATTTGGAAGCCAGTTTGAACCTTTGTGAAAAATCTTAAACAATAGTAGACAATAATACTACTGGCTAGGACCTCTTCTTGAAGCAGTGCTATAGATCTTTTATACTTTTCTTATGTTTTGCCTCTGATTTGGATAAATGTACTGTAGGTTTTGTCCTTTGGGATCCTGGAATAATTTTAGAACCAGAATGGATCAACCTGTATTTACTGGCCAATTTATTTTGAAATACCATGAAATTAGCTGTTAGGGCCTTCTATATAAATTTTTAAAAAATTAACATGTTTTTAATCTCCTTTACAGGATTTCTCTTCCTATTTATCTGATGGGCTTCATTTATCAGCAGAGGGAAATAATTTTTTAGCAACCCAGCTTTGGTCCTGGCTAGAAAATAAAATATCTGCATTGCCTTTGCTGTTTCCGTACTGGCGTGATGTAGATCATCTGAATCCTGAAGGTAGCCTTCTAGGAACTCCTGCTCATTGAATTACCTATTTCTTAAACAGATGGAGTTCTGTCCATCAGGCTTATTTTCTGTGGTTTATAGTCAGACAGGAGAATAGTTTTAATATTTTCTGATTTCTAGAGATTGTTTTTGGAAAAATAAAGTTACTTTTAGATCTTCCAATGCATCTGTTTGAAATTATGTTCAGTAGCTGACAAATCAAGATTAAATTTAGATAATTTATTAAAGTGTCAGACGCTTCTGAAACTTTTTGGCTGGACAGCATATTTCAAATGTAAATTTCACACCCTTCCCACTGTAACCATGGAACTTCACTGTTTCTGCAAATGATGCTTTCAGAAACTTTCACTAATGTAGAATGCAAGATATGCATCAAGAACCTTACTTGCCTTTAAATTCTTTGCCTCTTGCAACTTTAGATTCATTTCTGTTAGAAACTCTTAACTAGAAATCATCTATATGTACTCATTGAAGGGCATCTTCCTAGAGCAGTGATCTCCAAACTTTATGGTGAGGATCACTTTTGTAAGTAAAGGGCACTCCAGGATTTACTGCCCCCACCCCTCTGGCCAAGTTGTCTGGGCTCTGACCCAACTTGCCTGGCTCATGTACACTTGAGATCGACTGGTTGGTGACTGCTGTCCTTGAGGTTTTGAAACAAACAGTTCCTTTCCTATAGGCAGGCAACAGTTAAAGTCTGAAGATGCAAAGTCAAGCACTCAACAACCCAGTATCTTTACAAAGAAGGCAGATGTCATTACTTTCTAGGTCTTACATGTTCCTGTTAGTCATTTTGCTCAAGAGAGGGGAAAATATAAGCCCATGTTTTCTTAAATCTATGAGGAAAGAATTTTGGGTTTTTTTTTTTTAATTTACTGTATAAAAAGACCATGGTCCATTATATATACCAGGCCTAGGATAAAATAATAAAACCTTTAATTATTTATAAAATCATAGAAAATTAGGGCTGGAAGAGACCTCAGGAGGTCATAGCAAGGGAGACTTCTTAGTATTTAATTAACTATAGTTACATAACTAGAGTGGTTACCTCCAGTTTTAAGAACAGGTTAGGCCTCAATATTTTATCGTGCTGCCAAGGCAGGAATTAATTAGTTGATTGCTTGAGCGGTCTTCAAGAAATACCCTGGTTGTATACTGAAGGATTAGTGCTGTGTAATAGCTTAAATTAGAGACATGGCCATTTGCTACTTACAAAGGTTTCTGAGTAAGTGTTGTGTACAAGTCTCATTGAAAGAAAGAGTCATTCTGTTAAAAAAGCTTTTATTTTTACATTGTACTGAGAGTTGAATCAACTCCTCTCACAAAGTTTACCACTGCTTATCAAATCCAAAAACCAGTGTAACTAAAAATAACATGGCTGGTTAAAGATAGGAATACCATAAGGCACAAGTTCAAGTATTAGTGTAACAAGAATCTTAGAAACATTTCTTTGTCACAGGTTTCATTAACTGCCATCAAATTTATGTTTCTCTCTCTAAAATTGGCAAGCCTTGATTTTTCAGAGTTTACATTCGAGCTAAAATTAATGATTTTTTGAATAACCAGAACTGATGCACTAAGTATACTATTTTTTTTCAATGAAGCATTATATGGATCCTTTTAAGAACTAACTTTTAAGTTTCTTGGCAACAGACTTATGTATAGAAATTTGAATCAAAGAAAATGATTTCACACTGAACCTCAGTTAAAACCTGGGCCTAAGCTTTCTCCGCTTATCCTAGATAAGAGTGTGCCTTGTTTACCATTACAGATAAGAACTGTAATTCAGACTGAGAAGACTTGCAAGTAAATGGTTTTTATGCAATGGAAGTAATGAAATGTAAACAAGTTGCAACTGAAAACAGCTTTCAGACAATGGGGATATTTTCAGTGAATTATACCAGATTTTCATTGCTGTGCAATTTCTGTTGGTTTTTAAATGGAAGCCATGCAGTGAAAACCTTGTACAACTCAGTGTGCATCTGTTGTATTTGTCATACTCCAGTAAGATGCATTTTAAGAAACAAAAATTTCATTGCACTCGTCCTTTGTTCTCCAAACAAAAAAATACTTTATACTGCTTCAAGTTGAGCTTACAGGTACTTAAACTGCTCTAGGCTCTGGAGGAAGAGACATTTTTTTTCTGTTTTCTTAAAAAGAAAAAAAAAACCCAATGCTTTTGTGTGTCAGTGCTGTTCAACTACAAAAAGTTAAATTATAAAAATGCTAATATACACAGTCTAATATCCAGCAGGATATTTATTCCATTTTACACCACAGGTTGAAGGAAATGTTAGAGATTGAGAGGGGAGGAAGAAAAGCCAAACTGAAAAAAAAAAAAACTAGTTTTAGTCTGAATTTTGTTTCCAAAAAAGACAGAACTTTCTAGAAACTTAATTTAAGGAAGGTCATACACATGACCAGCATCTGCAATAGGTCACTTCCTTATTTCTTCTATTTCCTCTCAGACATATATACATAGATCTATATTTATAGAAATGAAATGGTTTTAGATCAAACAGATGAATTTTTTGCACACAGGAGTCTCAGGTTTGGAAGGCAGCACGACACTAGCATTCCGTCTCTTTGCTGTCCACTCGATTTTGACGTTGCAGTTTAAAAGATGAAGCTTTCTCACTCCTGGTGACAGGATGGTCTGTAAGGTCCTCAAAAGATTTGGCAGCTGAGCTGCTATTTGGGAAAGGGTCCTTTTCAAACACATCTTCATCTATGTGAGAGTCAGTACTTGGGTCTTCCTGAATAGTATCCATTCTTTGGTGGTCCTGTTTTGGTGCTGTGGCAACTGGAGGCATCACCATGACTGGCTGCAGTGGCTGATGCCGACTTGTGGACTGTGCAGCAGGCTTGATAATTCGCACAGAGGCAGAGTCCATGCTGCTGAGCATTTCAACGTTCTGCAAGATACAAGCAACTGAGTCAGGTGGGAATGACAGGAGCGTGTGGGAGGGAGAAGCAAAGTTTCAACAACTCAGGAAATAAGTAAGCCGTTGGTTTGGGGCCACCTACTTGAAGAAACAAAAGCTTTAAAGAGATGTCCCAATGTTACTGTTTCAAACCACAGTCCAGAGTTGGCCTCCTTTAGTTCAGCTGATTGCACTTTTGCCATATAAATTTTCTTGTACCAGTTTAGATGATCGCTAAGGCTGTTCAGCATTTTCACCTGTGCTGCTGCAGGTCTTGTGTGCAGTAGTCTACTGTCACTCTATAAAGCAATGGAGGAAGTGGGCGGGCAGGGGGAGCTGCATGTCCAACACAGCTGGCTACTCAACCGTTATATTTTGGACCCAACCAAGCAAAATGTAAATTAAACTCTTTTGTCTTAAGTCTGGGCTAGGAGGAGAGAGTGGCCTGCTGCAACTTAATTCAGATTGGACTGAGATGCTGCTAGGGAAGAAAAGTAAAGCGATGGCAGAAAGCATCAAGCTCCTTTACATAAGATTCAGCCTACCCTTTTGTTGTTCAAGTTTGCATCCTGCAGGGTTCTCAGTGTTCTGATATGTTCAAACAGCAACACTAGCCACAGATTTGTTGGTTAAACCGCTGCGATAACCTAGTCCAATCTTGCATGGAAGTCAAGAGTGCCATACCCTGTGCTAACTTCAACAGCAAATACCACGGAAGGAGTTGAATTGGAGCGTAATGCAGAGGAGCAGGGGGAAATCATTTCTGCTGCAATGGAAAACTTATGGCAGGACTGGGCAGAGTAAGTTGCTCCAACAATTAAGAGGAGGTGGACAAACAGGCTGAGAGAAATGAAGTAGTTTTCCCCAAATTGCACTGCAGATCAGTGGTAGAGCCAGGGTTAGGACAAAGGCCCCTCAGTCTCACATTAGTACCACATGCACTGGCCTCTTTCTGCCAAGGCAGAAAATTGTGCCTCTGCTATGGTTGAGTCAATGTCTGCCATATGGAGAAAACTTCAGCTGTGCCTACAGGACCTCAAGTTTCAGCTGCATTTCCTGTAAAGGCACATAGCACTTCTGCTCTGACATTGTACCAGCTTCCAGCCATTTCCAGAAGGACACTAAACAATTAGGACCCTTCTCTGAGGCCTGTCCCTATGCCCATTAAATGCTTTGGCAGTAAAGACCAGCCAAGAGCACTTTGGTTTGTGCAGGAGGGAAGTAGAGGCAGGGCAATCTCCAGCAGTTCTGGTCTCTGCAATGCACTTCCCTCTCTGGTTGTATAGGAAACAGATGGGGGAACATTTTGAATCCTTGGATGCTCATCTTATGGTAATGGGGCTTTTAAAAAAATTTTTAAATACGATTAGGCATCCAAAACACTGACATACAAATGAAAGGGTGCCAGTTTATCATCCTGACCAGCAGAACTGGCAGGAAGTGTCATTGCCCAAAAACTGACAGATCCATCAGCATGGCAGAATTTCTGGTGACCCACTAGAAGTAGCTCAAGAACTTCAGTAAAACGGTATGTACTGAATTAAAAACATCCAGCCCCTGAAAGCTATTCTGATCAGAGGGGGTAGGAGACCTATTCAGTAAGTGACATTCTGGTAAAGTCCAAAGTCATTTGATTAACACTTCCGCTTCTAAAATCCCTCAGGCAAGCACAGCCAATTAAGGGTCAAATGTTTAGTGGGTAAGATATTGAGTTCCAGCCTGGGTGCAGCATTCAAACAGACACTTGCCACAGGGACCTGCGCTTCCTACACTGAATGCTGTGGGCAGCATGAGAGTGATAGAGTCATGCCCTCTGATGGGAAGGGGAAGCAGAAGCCATGGTATTTCATTTGTTAAAAAAGCCAACATTCATACTGGAACATACATCTCCCAACTTGTTTCATTTCTGTGTCCAGGATGCCCAAGGCTGGCTTAGAGAACAGTTCATTTCAACCCACCCCACTGAGGTGTATTTTCAGATCTAGCTTTTTGCAAAAACTTATTGTTGAACAGAGTGCCACTTGCAATCGGGAAACTTACACTGGGGCAAAAGAGAGATTTTGTGTTCTCCTCATACTGCTTATCCAATTTCTTGTCCTACAAAGACAAAATAAAAGCAGAAAAGTTCATTCTGTATCACTAGGTTCAGCTCAGTTTCCCCATCCTGTTCCCTCCACATTCAAATACTCTCCCAGGAAATCGCCTCCCCAGTCTCACTCCATAGCTAGAGTTGCC